TTTATCACTTACATCTTTGAAACACTCTACGTTCCCCCCTCTCGACTTTTTTCAATCTGATGTTCCTTCCCCTCTGTGAAGCCTGAAGTAAACTAGAGGGCTAATGATAACTATCAAAACGCCTGCCATTTGTTAAATAAATGTATATACTATCGCAATCAGATAACCATGGAACTTATAACCAAAAAGCTACGACTAAGATGTTAACAACAAACCTGTTTTAGTGAATTATGAAAATTCTGTGTTGTTACAATGCTAAGAAACCTAGCTTTCTACTTCTGATGTATTCGTTCATTAACTATCGGTCAGTAGAAATGCTGGACCTAAACAGAATTCAGCTCAATAGAAGGCCATTGATGATCGGTGAGTACAAAGCTTCTTCGAGTTATTGGTGTTAGGATATCAAACGTAGCCAGAGAGATAAGAGTTCTATGTCATATATAACTATCGATCTGTTAGGTGCCATACTCGAAACCGCCAGGATAAAGATGCTGAATGGAAAAGAATCACCTACTGGAAGCAATTGGGCAAAGCAAAACACCAGTACTGAAGAAAGTATGTTTATATTGACATGAGCCTATTGCATACATTCAAGAAATGTTCAAATACACTTCCAGCGAGTGCCACGCTTCAGGAAACTGGGTAATTGGGACGGTAATGTGACTGGAAGCAGCAAGATAGTACACGACTCTTGGCAAGAAGTCTATCGCGAACACTCTTGGAGAGCCTGAAGAAGTGCTGGCATGGATTGCAAAGCTTTCCAAAGAACCAGTCAATGTACTCTCCCTCGAAGCTGGCCAACATGTCTCCGAAGGTGTCCACATTCTCCATAAAGTAAGTTATTGTGCAACAGTCAGCGGCGCCAATGAGAGCCCTGATGTCCTCATGATAGTAGAAGATGTACTTGAGGAGTGTAGGGCTTTTGCCGTAGAGAAGGTAGACGAGATCGGTACGGATATTGGGCATGGTTTGGATGAAATCGCGAAGCTGCAAGTGACAGCACGGGTTATATATGCAGGTAATATTTTTGGGGACTTTCTGATATTTCTCGCAATCTGCATTTGAGCTATAATATGGATTTGGCTCACTAGTTGTGGTACTCAACGATTTCGTGTCTTCTGTTGGTGTCGTCGTTGTAGTAGTTGGGGCTGGTGTCGTCGTTGTAGTAGTTGGTGCTGGTGTCGTCGTTGTAGTAGTTGTGGTTGTTGTCGGCTTTGTAGTATCATATATGTATGTGGTGTAATGCCCAAAAAATAGAAACGCATGGGCGAATTCGTTTGAGGCAATTACGAAGACCAAGAAAAAAATGAACAAATTTGTTAATTTCATTTCGATAAGATAGCACTTGCAGAATCTTGATGGCCTTATATACTCTTCGTGCCGGAATGTGATTGGCTCACACTTAAATCATGTCGATTTTCTGAAATATCTCGCACTTTGATTGGCTTGCACTATGGTGTAATGTTAAGAAATGCCTTATCACTATAGAAAATTCGAAAATTTGCTTATCATTTCAAGTGAATTTTAAAAATGTAAATCTTCCCTCTTCTTGGCAAATCACATAATTGCTGATTCAGCCTGGAATTTAAATGCTTATATCGACAAAACCATACCAATTAAAAAGAAAGGGATCTATTTTTTAAGATCGATTTTCAAATCGAAATAGCTTTTTCGTTTGCTAGTCAATCATCATCTGCTTTGATTAACGCATATTATTGTAATATTCTATCATATTTAGAGGTGATTTTTTAGATAACTGGAGGGGTTCAAGTCCTTTTCACTGATATCAACATTTTTGATTTCCAACGATAAAGCATGTATATGTTTCGAAATCAAAGTGCTCGAATTTTTCTTATTGTCATAAAAAAAGTCAATGAAAAACTCTCTGGGATTAGATCTTGCCACCAAAAATTCTCCAACTAGTACCCTTCGCGAAATTAACTTTTCTGTCTCTTCGAAGAACTTTGCTTTCTTTAAAGCTTTCCTGTAAATTCAAATGCGCAAAGCATTTAATCCTTTTAACTTGCAATACATGCTGATTAATGATTGTTTGTGAAGTCACTCCTTGTTTATTGTCTATATTGGTTACTACGGTAAGCTTCCAAACATCCTTTATTTTTGTTCTGCACTGTTAACATCTTGTAGAGACAATGATAAGCATTGGTCAATAAGCATTGAAAAATGGGGGAAAGAATTTAATGAAATGGAAGAAATGGAATGTTTGAATCTGAATTTTGGTGCTTATTAAGTGAATCTAACACAAATGAACTCCGAAAAATTCAATGAAATTAGACACTTCCCAGGCTTTGATCACAACAACTTTCGATCTCTGTCCACCTCAAATTTGTTTACCTTTCCTCTAAACGTCTGGAGATTTGATTTATAGAATGAGGTGAGAGATTGGTGTTTTATTCCTTTTCTTCAGTAATTGGCTCAAAAGCACTCGTGCTGTCGTTCTTTTTGGAGTTCTTTAATCCGCGATCAATGAATCGAACGACTTCTGTGGAGTGCACGACGCTATCATGACTGAACAAAAAAATCTCACGCGTACCCAGACAGAGTCAGATGTGAGGTCGCTCTACTTGTCGAGAAGGGAGCAAGCGTGGCCCCTCAGGCAGCCGCCATGCATCCTTTAACAGATCCCTCATTGTCTTTTAATGACTGGGATCTGTGCCAAACCAGCACCCAAGTAAACGTATTTCCTCTATGCTATTGAGTCGATCTTGCCATATAAATCACTGAAAATAAGTCTGACTTTTACCTACTAACTACTCTTTTCCCCTTCATTAACCCACATACCTTCTTTCTCAAATCCTCTTGCACGAGGTGAATAAATAACTTTTTCCATTAGCTATAGCTGCTAATTTACAATATTCCTCTTTTAATTAAACGCGATCGAAAAGTATTGAGATATACCTTATAAGTTCTCGAAATAGGGTCATATACTTTTCTTTGAAAGTGCTGTCGTATTGTGCAGTTGAGGATTAGTGGAGGCATAATTTATCAACTTCTTTTAGCGCAAAGATTTTTTGAAATCATATATACGTAGAAATTGAATTATTAATTTTTCAAGTCAACCTTTGCGCCGTGGCTTTTAAAACAGTATGGAAAAGGTTGTCATGACAAAGACTTTGACCTTTTATTACGTCAAATTCTTACTGGAGAGGAGAGTAATACGTAATTGAAGATGATGTTTTTGGGAAGTCAAATCGAACGCCCATCCCACCAAGTCTTCGGTGTTGGGATACTTCTCCTATGCGAATCAATTACTCACGAATTTATGGTTGTGAACAATAGAAAAGACTTAGCAAGAGAATAAAATGTACATGCAAGTTTATTTAACAGAACGGAAACATTGAAAAAGTTTGAGGATGCTTAATTTGATGCAATTTGAATGTAGCCTGTAAAAGGCGGGATTTCGTATTGACGCGTAAGGAGTTTTTTCTAGTTTTAATGCTGGAAAAGGACCCCCAAATAAGTGGGAAGACAAATGAGCTTGGCATCAAAATCCCACCAAAGTTGAATCGTATTTATTCTTCACACCGATTCAATTTCGAGGCTAATTATTAATGATTCATGAAAATTTTCAACATTTGCTTTCATATTAAAATACCTCCCAGCAACGATACAAAGCTTAGTTATTTCAGCTCTACAAAGGCTGAAGTAACGAATGAATTCAGATAGCCCTACCAACCAAGTGTACAATATGAACATGTTAATTCAATCAACTCGTTGCAAAATGAAAAAAAGATTAAATTTGAAAGTCAATCAATCATTTAGACAAATATTATGCAACTTCGGTGTTAAAAACCAAACAATATTTTTAAATATGGCATCTTTTCTTCCCCTTCCCCTCCTATTATCATTTATCGGAAAAAAGCAAGCCTATTTTAAACGATTTTTGATAAGAACTCAAAATGATGCCTTTTCTTGCATGGGAAGTGCAAAATCGATTCCCCTTTATTGTAACGATATATTCACAATATTAACTGCGGTCGGACTAAGCATGATGGGCCAAACCGTCATTCATTGATTGGCCTGTTGAGTGACCAATTCTATTATATAGCATCCAGGCATTAAGATCATAATTGAATTCACTTTACTCCACCGATCACAATCTGGGTAAACTTGTCAAGATAAATCTCTGTCTTGTATTATAGCAATGGACTTAACCAATACATTCTGCTACATTCCATTATGTGAAATTCTTTGTTGATTGCACCCTTCAAAAGGTTATGAAATAAAAATTTGAGGATCTATACTGAAAATTGACCCTTAAATTACTCTTGTTGACATTATCCTTAAGTGCTCGATGTTGTCAATAGAAAGACAGTTTAACTCGAACATACTGCCTGAATTCCAGGCTTGCTTATACTTAATTTTATTTCGTTAAGAAGTGCTTTCCTGTGGTACAAATCATAATCTCATTGATCACAGTAATCAATGCTCTGACATCTCTTGCTCACAGTCACCCCATCCCCCCTCC